CCGAGGCTGGGATGACGCGCAGCTTCGTGAAGCGAAGCGCCTTCGGCTGGTAGGTTGTCTTTGAGCCATCCTGCGGCACGCCGCTCCACTCAAACTCGTGGACCCACTCGTCGGCGCTCGGGATAAAGCGCGCGGGCCCGAGGACCACCCTCCGCTCGACGTGCGGCTCCCCAACCTTGTTGGCCGTGTGGCGGTACACGACCAGCGCCTCAGAGGCGTCGATCAGACGCGCCTCGCGAACGTGCACCGAGATGTCCTCGACGGGGTCAAAGAAGCGGGCGGCGGGTCCGGGCAGAATGATGACTGTGCCGTCACGACGGCGGACCTCGAGGTACTCGACGTTGCCAGCGCTGTGCTTGGGCAGGACCTGAGTGGGGAGAAAGGAGTGAGAGCGAGCTACGAGGCACGATGGTGAAGATCGAGCGTGAGCGCCTCGAGCCGCTGAAGGCAGAGGAACAGGCGGCGTGGGCCATCAACGAGTCGCGCGCTGCCATCACGTGACCAGACACAAGCGCGTTCGCCTTCGCGTACGGTCTTCGAGCCGAAGGTCATGACGAGAGTAGGAGGAGAGCGGGAGGAGAGCGGCAGGCCGGCAAAGACCGCCGTGGGTCGCGTCCAATCCAAGGACTGGGGAGGCCAGAAAAGAATTTTACGAGCGCGTTCGCACGACACCGTGCTGCGAGCCTGTCGCTGTCCCTTGTCAGGAGCAGGAGAACTAGGAGAGCGCAACCAGTAGGAGGCCCGCGCTTGCCCCCGTGCCGCCGGGTGCAACCTGTCCTATACGAGAGAGGAATCCCTGGGACCCTGTCGTGAGGGTGAACCCTGCCCAGCCCCCCTCCGTGTCGCGATGCGCTCCCCACTCCCGTTCCCCTGTGTCCCTGATCGTCCTTCCAAGATCCTGCTCGTGCAGGTGGGGACCCTGTCCTCGTCCCAAGGTCCCATCCCTCGTTTGGGTTGTCTGTTTTCTTTCTTTCTTTTTTTGGACAGGAGGGAGAACGACGAGAGTGGGACGACCGCGAGGTGGCATGAAGGTTGCAGCGAGAATCGGCGAGGGACTGCGAAGGGAGATAGAAAGAGGCAGACGCCCAAGGGTTAGGGTGGGCGACGGCTAGCACCACACTCCTCTCCTTAAAATCCCTGTGTGGTGGCGGCGTGCCGTCCTCCCATCCCTCCCTTGGGTTGTCTGTTTTCTTTCTTTCTTTCTTACTGGGCACGGGACTGGCGCGCAGAAAAGAATTTAAAGGCTCAATCACCCGGCCCGCTGGGTGCGCTTCTGAGCTCCCCGGCCCTGGATGTGCGGTTGATGACCGCACTCCAAGTGCTCCAAGTGCTCTCTCTCACAGCAGACAGGCTCGACACAGGTGCGAACTGGCGCGTGCTAGTACTATCACAGGCACACCAGAAAAGAATTGGGACCGCGGAAATTCGCCATGCGGAGACAGTGAAGGGCGCCTCACCACTTGAATGGCGTTCGCCTCGGCCGGCCTGCCGCCGCCGGCGCTCAACGCTGCCGCTGCCGAGGGCGCGGCGCGCGGCCGCGACGGCGCGCAAGAGGCCGGTGATGGCCAGCCAGAGACTCGGCGTGAAGCGCCGCCTCGACGGCGAGCTCGCGAGCGCGCGCGTCAACGACGACGACGCCAAAGAAGGCGACACCATTATGGTGGACGCCGCACAGATGGCCGCTGCGGCGGCCGCCGGCACCGACCGCGGCACGAAGCGCCTGCTGCACGTCGCGCTCGCGGCGCGCGACGGCAAGCACATCCCGGACATCCAGAACACGACGGCGCTCGTCTCCGAGATTCGACAGCTTCTGAGGAAGACGCCAGGCTGCGAGGCGCAGCCGGCGAGCGCGATCAGCGTGCCCATCATCGGCACGTCGCGGGCCGTCTGCGTCGCCTTCAGCGGCGAGAGCGAGGCACGAGCCTTCCTCGAGCACCACGCCGGCGGTGGCGCCATACAGCTCCCAGCTCCGGATGACATCACCATCCACTTCGTCGCTCTCGACGCCTCCGAGTGGGGCAGGCAGGCGGAGGCGCGCGAGCTCCAGGCGGCGACGGAGTCCGACGGCCTCATCGCCATCCGCACCCGCGGCGCCATCAACACGGCCGCCCAGATCGAGCACTTTACCCCTCTGCTCCAGAAGCACTTCGGCAACGTCGTCTCCGTCCAAGAGGGATATCACACCTTCCTGGGCGCCAAGTCGGACGAGAAAGGACGGCTCTATCCTCTTCAAGGTGAAAGAACGAGAACCTCGGCCTGCATGCTGGAAACCTCCCCGGATCCTGCCCCAACGTCCTACCCATAGCGGCAAATTTCGGCGGACCCTCTCCGCCCTTGATGGTCGGGGGCCATCAAGGCCCTCTGGAAAACAAAACTCCTTGCCCCCCTCCCTGCCCGGGGA